GGGAGCGACTCACATTTTGACGAGCGTCGCCCCATGTGCTCATTGTCCACGGTGTCGCTCGTCCACTCCACCTTCTTCTCTGGCTTCCGTTTCCGAAGTTTGATGGTTAGGCTCCGATTCTCCTGTAAGGGTAGGAGGTATGGGCCATCTAGCTAATCTCCTCTTGACCTTTCCTGTTTCCCAAGTAACCTCCTCTGTCCTCTTCCCTGGCTCAATCCGTACCACACACCACACCTCTGGAGGAGCCAGGTGCTGGGAGCCAAAACAGAACGTTTTTAACCTGCTCATGAGGAATATGAATTCCTGTTTTTGAAAACTACTAGTATGCAAAAAAAAAAAAAAAAAAAAAAAAAAAAAAGGACAATTCTTAACCTGGGGCCAGTAAATCTTCAAAGGAAAACACAACCCTCCTTGTGTCTTATCTTCTTTCCCCATCATCCGTGGTGTTATTAATACAGGAAAGTTATTTTCTCAGTTCCCCGTGACTGGTCTTGGCCTCCCTTTCTTTCCCCACACCTCTTATTCATGTTCTCTCTAAAGAGATTACATGCATGTAATCTCAGCACTTAGGAGACTGAGTCAGAAGCCAGCCTCTACAACTTCGTAAAGCTTTTTCTTTCAAGAGCAAAATAAAATTTTTAAAAAATAATAAAGCAAGGCTGTGGAGGCAGGTCTGTTGGTAAAGTGCTTTCCTAAGTTCGATTCCCAGAATCCATATTTTTTTAAAAAAGTTAGATGCAGTGGTGGTGCAGTGCTGGAGATGTGGAGACAGGCAGGTCTCTTGCCAGCCAGCCTAGCCAATTTGGGCAGCTCCATGAAAAATGATTGTCTCAATCCAAAAAAAAAAAAAGGTAGACTGTGCCTGAGAATCATCTAAGGTTGACTTCTGCCCCCCCCCCTCCACACACACCTGAACAAACAAAATAAAACAAAAATCCAAAACCCTCCTCCTCCAAAGAAAGCCTTCATTCCTTCTTCTCTCAAGTCCAGGGCGCTCTACGTCCTACCCACTTATTCTCTAATCCTGGCATCTCTGGTAATGATCACTAAACTACTAAACGCCTTCAAACCCAGACATTATTACGCCCAACACATCTTTCTCCCTTTGAAAGCAATAAAACTTGTTTTTGCAAAAATTCTGTTTGCTCATTTGCTTCTCTCCTCTCTGATCTGTCAAAATACTACCTTCACCTCATTTTGCTTCCCCATTCCCTCCACTTTGACACGTACCCACTCCATGACTATGTACTGGTAAGTACTCGTCCTTTATGTTTGCCTCCAAAACCATGCTTTCTCAAATGGCCTTTCATTTCCTCCCACTACCCTCGGTGCTCCTTAGCCCAGTTTCCGTTTATTACGTACACAGACCACCACGCCAAGTCACAACACCTATACCCTAATTGTAACTGCGGATTAAACGTTCCTTGACTTTTATGATTTGAGCCACTCCAAGCATCCCCAGTCCCTTGCGATTTCCCCAAGACTCAACCCACATGTCCCGGATCCCAAACCCTCCAACTTTCCAAACCCCTATTTCCCTCCCAGTACCTCCCAGACCCCTACACAGGCCCCCCCGCCCGGCTTTCTCACGGGCTCGGTTGTCACGGTAACCGTTGTCTCAGTGACGGTCTCACTCAGCCCGGCCCCTGCCTCCGCCATGGCTAAAGCGAAAAGCGAGGAAGCGGGATGAGACACCCTTCCCTTTTTCTGCGCCTCTGAGATCTAAGAGATCCGGTACAGGACTCGGAGTAGTGACCAGGATCCTCTGGCTTCTTATTCTCCCCCTTCCTCCAGGGCCTCTGCTTCCCCACCCCTGGGGATAACCTGTCCAACCCCACTTCCGGCCTTTCACTTCCGGGTGTGACGCATCCTGCAGAAACCAGCTTCCCTTCCTCAGCACCGCTTGGGCCAAAGCGCAGGCGTCACCAGATTAGTTCCGCCGTACTGTAACAGTGCGCAGACGCCGCAGTTAGCAGAAGTGATGTCATTGCGGGGCGGGGCCAGCTGGCCCAGGGCCTAAGTTCATTGGAGGAGAGTCAACTCCGGGCTGCGGGCACCGAGGAGGTGAGCTGTACGTGCTCAGTATCCCTTCCCCAGTCCGCTGTGTCCTTAAACCTGGGTGCAAAAGTAAGTGGGACTCGGCCAAGTTCCACTTTCTTATCATTCTGCCGAGAAATGGCTTTCCAGGTGCAGGAAACGCACTGGGTTCTAGTTCTCTCCCTGTCTGTACGTCTTAGAGGGAAGGTACACCAAACTTGGAATTTTCCGACCATGGCAGGCCCTAAGATCAAAGTATGAGATACCCAGACTGCCATTTACAAAGACTAGGCTGCAGGGGACGGGGCAGCAAATTCAAATACATATGGTTAAGTTTTGTTGAATCTCTCACTACCCATCCCCAAATCCCAACTTTTGTTTCCTTACAATGAAGAACTAGATTTAGATAGGATATATGTATAATATGTCTGCCTTTTTTGTATTGGCCTTGTGATGGTTAACAATTACAATTACAATTAGTTAGTATGCTTGAGAGACCAAAGAGAAAAAAAAAATGCCTCTGGCATGTAAGCTCCTAGCTTGTATAGACTGTACCCTACCAGTCCACTTCTTTTTTTCTCCCAGACAGGGTTTATCTGTGTATCCCTGGACATCCTGGAACTCACTCTGTGGACCAGGATGGCCTCAAACAGAGATTCGCCTGGCTCTGCCTCCTGAGTGCTGTGATCAAAGGCATCGCCACCACCACTTGTAAAGACTGTTCTTAAACTGACAGATCTTGTAAATTTGCTGTTATAGCAAGACAATAGTTCATAAGACTAACTGCTATTTCTGCTTTTGTAATCAAACTTGCTTACTCTGCTCAATGGCTAGGACAACTTGAGAGACCCCCACCCCAGTTCCCCCTAAGGCCCGGAGAGCTGAGGAAAGGGACATCTTAAAATAGCCAGAACCAAGTCAGTTCCCATTTCCAGACAGGGTGCAGTCAGAAGTTTTAAAAGTACAAAATCAGACTGTCTGGTGGTAGCTAACCACGAGATGCCCCTCTCCCCTGAGATAATATGACCAAATTTTGGAGATGGGCTGTAAAACTCCTGACAGAGCAAAAAATAAGATAAAAATCCAAACTCAGGAAAACTGGACCAATCAAGGGTGGACCCGTACTAACCCTCTCCTCCCTGAAGAATTTTGTGGTTTTTGCCTTCAAAAGCTAATCTCCCCAAGAAAGAGGAACTCTCCTCCCTGCCTCGCTGCGCCGGACACTGCGGACGAGGGTTCCTTGCTAGCTCGTATTGCGCCAAGAAGTAAACCTTGCTATTGCATTCTGGATATATCTGGTCTCCTGGTGGTCTCTTTGGGGGTTCTTATCTGGGCATAACAAACTGCAAGACATACATATAAAATTAGACCCTGCCTATTTGTAGACAGAATACATGTAATCTTGTGGCCTTGGGCTGACTAGATGCTGCATCCAGTGCCATGAGTATCCAGAACCAGTAGTTAATAAAGCCTCTTATTAAAATTTATTCATGGTCATCATGAATCTGAGTGACCCCAGGCCCACAACAGCTTCATTCCAGACTCCATTATTTTATCGCTACAGTTTTTTTCTTTTTTACAGCTACAGTCTAAGTCATTTAAATTTCCTTTGGAATAAGACAGTTTATTGTTATTTTTCATTTTTTAGGCATCTTGTTAGGTAGCTTTGGCTGGCTTTGTATTCCTTATACAGTTCACTGTCCTCAAGCTTGAGACCTTCTTGCCTCTATCCCTGAAGCGCTGGGATGACAGGGCATGTGCCACCAGCTTGGCCAGGATAAGATTATGAATAACACATATGATGTCAAGGTTTCATAAAAATATAACTTTAGTAAATTCAACTTGGAGAAGGAGTGCCCTGGGGGTGAAGATCTTATTCTGAGAACAAGGCACCAGAGGGGAAGGATAAGTCATCAAAGGACCGATGTCTTCACCTTCCAAGAGGAGGAGGAGTGTTGCTGAGTTGCCAGAAAAAAAAAAGGTCAAGAATCTTCCTTTTCTTGAAACCTATGGAAAAAGAAAGGACTCGTTATACTTAACCAAAAAGAATTTCTAGCACCGTGAGATAAGATAAAAACCCCTGAAGGACGTTTTCTTATGACAGGGATGGATGAGCTTCCCCCAAACCATCCTTCAGCTCTAACTTCAAGGTAACTAATATCTAATCATTACCTTGAAGTATGCAAAGATTTCCCAGGACAGAAAAAGCACTAGCCAAGAAAAGGAAAAAGATAAACTGGACCTCATAAAAACAAAATGTTGTAGCTGGATGTGGTGGCACAGATCAATCTCAAAGAAGCCTACAGATGCTGGGAATGCAGCGTTCACCCAGACCTTAAGAAACCCCAAGTTCAAGTTCTAAGAAACTAGCAGACAGTCAAAAATTACAAAGTTAAAAAGTACCATGAGAAAGTCAGCAGAAACAGCATCAGACCCAGAAAAAACAATGGATATCAGAAATAACGCACACATATAAACATGTTTAATATACCTAATATACATTTAAAGAATAAAAGGAGTAATTTAAAATGATTAATGGAGCTGGAGAGTTGGCTCAGTGGTTAAGAGTGAGTATTTGTTGCTCTTGCAGAGAATCTAGGTTTGATTCCTAGCAACCACATGGTGGTTCACAACCATCTGTAACTCTAGTCCCAGGGAGTCTGACATCTCTTCTGACTATGTGGGTCCAGGCATACACATGGTGCACTTACATACATGTAAACAAAACACTCATACACATACAATAATAAAATAAATGTTAAATAAAATGACTGAGATTTTTTAAATGACTAATGGGCTAAATTGTTCAGGTGATTCATGAGGTTTGAAAACAAGCAGTAATAACTGAGGGGCTGAGGAGAAGGCTCCGGTGGTAAAGTGTTTGCTGCACAGACATGAGGACTTGAGTTCAGATCCCCAGCATCCCTTAAAAATAAAGAAAATGCTGGGTGTTATGGTCCACATGTACAGAATGGACTCCCCTTGGGCTGGGAGGCATAGGACAATGACAGGATGAATCCCTGAGGCTCACTGGGTAGCCAGCCTAGCCTTAGCTCCAGCTCAGAGACTCTGCCGCCAGAGCTAAGGTAGAGAGCCGGAAGTGGTGGCGCACACCATTAGTCCCAGCATTCTGGAGGCCGAGGCAGATGGGCATCTGTGAGTTTGAGGCTAACCTGGTCTACACTGAGTTTCACACCAACCAAGAATACAGTGAAAGCCTGTCTCAAAACTAAAAGAAAGGTAAAGAAGAGATAAAGACGCTTGATGAAGCCACCCAATGCCTAACTCTGGCCTCCATATGGACAAAAATATATGCATACATCCACATGAACACATGAATACACCACACATAAAACACTCTCACCACCACACACACATACAAATTGAAGACAGAATTAATGACCTATAAGAAAGATCTGGGGAAATTACCCAGAAGACAGTATAAACAATGGGATGGAAAATATAGAAGACAAGGTGAGAAATGTGAAAGTCTAATAACTAATTTGAGAACATGGTGAACAGGCAATATTGGAATGAGATAACAACTGATACATTTCCAAGGTTGATGACATATAAATCAGTTCTCAGTTTCTGAAAGCCTAATAAGGGGCTGGGCACGTAGTTCAGTTGGTAGAGTGCTTATGTAGCTCTCATGAAACTGAGTTGAATCTTCAGCACCATAAGAAACAGCTGTGGTGGCACATGCTTGTAATCCTTGCATTTGAGAGGTGGAAGCAGGAGGATAAGAAAATCAAAAAAGAAAGAGGAAAAGTCTAATCAAAATCCTAAACAGGGCAAATATAAGAAGAGAGGTCAGGGTACAGCTAAGGGTAGAGCATTTCCTTAGCATGCCTAAGGCCCTGGAATAAAGCTGGCAGTACCCCAGGAAGAAGGAAAACAATAACAAAAAGCAAAAATACAGAAAGCCACATGCTAATGTTCTGCAGTGTAGCTAAACATCAATCGAGACAAAGATTGTTTCAAACCACTCAGACCATGTTCTTTGAATCATGCAAGATTAAGCAACCAAAGCCACCCCTTTTGCAGGGAAAAATTTCAGCATATTGTACCACTCTGCACACCAACGTCTGTCTTTTAAAATTCCCTTTCTAGTAGCTTTTTATGTGTGTGACAGAGTCTCGGTGTAGCCCAGGCTGGCCTTGAATGAATGATCTTCCTTCGGGTCACCACACCCAGCTTTCCTTTTATATCTTAAAAGATTTAGTTCAGTGACTGTCAAAAGAGTAAGGGATCGGTTGAGAAGGCTTAGCAGTTAAAAGCTCATACTGTTGCAGAGGATCCAAGTTCAGTTCTCAGCACCCATATCTAATGGCTCACAACTACCTGTAACTCCAGTACCAGGGGATTTAATATCTCTGGCCTTGGTGGGCACCTGCACATTCGAATATGCAGATAAAACACCTACAAATAACTCCAAAAAAAAAAAAAATCCCATCTTTTTAACAAGCCTGGTGGAATGGCACATGCTTGAATCACAGCATTCAGGAAGAACTGCTTAAGGTTTGAGACCAACCTGGGCTGTATGGTTGAGAGTTCAAGGCTAGCCTGGGTATATAGTGAGCCCCTGTCTCAAAAAACACAAATAATAAAAAAGGGCTACAAGCCTCCCTATTATGGACTGGACCAAATGAAATACTTAGTACAAGTCTGTCTCTGCTTTTGTTGTTTAAAAATACAAAAAAAGGGCAGAGGGAAGGGAAAAGATTCTCACTTGCAATTGATACAGGTATAGAAGACAGTCTGTCCTTCATCGGCTGATCGCATCTGTCTGGTGTGGTATGCCATTCCCTCATGACCACATCGAGGGCAGCGCCTGTCAACCTAGGAAGAAACAGATGGACTATGGAGACCTACTCACAATAAGGCTCTGCTTTCGTACAGGAATCAAACTATTACACCCCCCAGACATTCTCCTGGAATGGAGCACAAAACCAGGTCTCCACAATCATTGTTCTTTGGAAACCAGTCCTAATCAATTTACCACTGGTCCCTGGGATTCAGGTCCCTCGTCCACAGACGTAGGTATGGCTGCCCCCAGTTTGTGGAACACAACTGAGGTCTTCACAACTTTCCCTTCGAAATCTGCGCAGGGAGTAAAAAATTAACAGTAGAAATGGCCGAGGAGGCAACAAATCCCAGCAACACTCTCGCAGGTGGGTCACATCCTCCCTTCGGGGTTCTTCCCTGGGTCAGTCTGACAGACAGATTCCAGTTCTGGGTCTCGCCTCCCTAATCCCAGCCAGGGCTGAGGTCACCCTCCACCACCGACCTCTCCACCTGGACCCTCGGCTGGGTCCAGCCTACTAACCCCTCACCTCGCACGTCTATGGAGAAGCCGCAGCGAGGGCAGACGACTGTATCCTGAGCTCCAGGCAGCGGCAGCACAGAGCCGCAATCTGGGCAGAAATCCAAGTCTGATTGAAAGCTGGAGCAGGGGCTGGTCAGCTCCATGGCGGATGAGACCTGGGGACGAAAAGATGTTCAGTGAGACACAAGAGTCTTGCCTTGGAGGTGGTTCCCCGGCAGTAATTACCTGAGTCCACCACCCCCTGGGTCCTCTGACAGCTACGTGTGCAGTACGAGGTGTCCGGAACTTCAGCCTCAGGGGAACCGTACGTGGTGGGACGCAGGGGGCAAGTGGAGAGAGCACAGACCCCCAGCGGCGGGCTAGAGCGGCCGATCGCAAGGCGCCGGGCAGCGAATACGCTCGGCGGGCTAGAGCGCCCTCACAGCCTGGCGGCCGTTGGGTCGTGACATCATAATTAATGGCGCACTTAGTCGAGTGAGCCCTAGAGAGGGAGCCGAACTTCTAAGGAAAGGGAATTGGAGGCCCCACTGCTACTGTGACGTCGATTAAGCAAAGGCAAGTAGCCAGTGTTAGGCCACCCGCACAAATCCCTGCTTTCGTAGGGAAAGGCGGTTGGGAACGCCCCCCTAAAACTACTAATTTTTCCAGAGCAACTGATTCCGTCGGGTTCAGACAACTACAACTCCCGCCGGTTCCTGAGACCTTTTTTGTCTTTTGCGGCTGCTCAGTGGCTAAAAGCAAAGCTAAGGAGCATTCTTGCGCATCCTTTTGTGCGCAACCCCCGCCCCGGGTTGTCGCTCTGAGCACTTGAGCGAGTCGGCTTCCTAAGGAGCAGAGAATGGTGAGGGTGAAAGCAGAGGGCAAACGAGACATTTGAGGAGGATTTTAGGGATTTGGAAGTGGTGGGACACGTGAGATTAGGGCTCTTATCTCCTTGTGTTCTTGCGGGATGACAGAGGCTAGCATTAACCAAAAGCACCTCTTTTGATTTACTAGGGATTAGATTTGGCTTTCTCTTGCAAGACCATCTTCCACTCCCCTAAGCGCCCATTCACCCGGCTTTAAATACTTGCCAACCACTAAGTGAACAGTAGGGTAAGTATTCACTGGAAGCCTACAAAGGAAGGAAAACGTGTGTGCTGAGGAAGGACGAGCTCGAAGATAGCGTTCCCAGCCCTCCAGCAGCCAATCTGATCGCCATGCCAAGGCTGGTCTTATAGGACACAAACTATACTCTTTACTTAGGAGAGACCCTCATTTGTCTTTCTCTGCATGCAATTAATGTGCGATGAAACCACGGGGAAGGAGTTTAAAAAAAAAAAAAAAACCTCAGCAAGATGTCAAAAGGACATCATTTTACTTAGACCCTGTCATTTTACTTAGGGGTGAAATTGGGTGTCATTTTGCTTGTCTAGCAAAGCACTGTTGCTGAGCCCATGGTAGTAGGTGAAATTTTAAATTTCACCTCTGTGCCCTCTTTCAAATTAGAAATTTAAATTAGCTCCACTTTCCCTTTAAAGTTTGACATCAGACGTCCACTATGGTTTGACAGCTACCTTTAATGCAGTGAAGGAACACAAACAGCATAAGGCACACTGTTCCTTTCTCAACAAAAGCTCCATCCATCCAATAAAGACTGCACACCTGTGCCAGGTTTGGAGCTGAGACTGGGATTGCATAGTTGAAATCTGTTTTCTCTTTCAGTACAAATGAATAGTTTGAATGTGGAGAAAGTACACTAGTAGGTGCTTGAGCCAGGGATATACCTGTAGCCGTCATGGAGGACAGGTCCATGCTCTAATGAAAAACGCAGCATGCCTGTGTGGTGGTACATGCCTGTATCTTGCACTAGGGAAGCTGAAGCCGGAGGGCTGTGAGTTTGAGGCCACCTTGGGCTGCAAAGCAAGCCTCAATATGTAATGAACCCCTATTTCTAAAATAAATACGGTGTGTATGTGTACTGGGATGGACCCCAGAGCCTTGGTAGGTAAGCCATTTACTACTGAGTTAAATTCCCAACCCTGAGATAGTTATGAGGAAATACTTAGCTACTATGTGATAATAAAGTCACAATTTTGAGACTTACGATCATAGTACTATACTAGATGCCTTTTGCAAGAAATGAAAGTATGGGGCTGGAGAAATGGCTCAGTGGTTAAGAACACTGGCTGTTCTTCAGAGGACCCTGGTTCATTTTCCAGCATCCACATCACATGGGTGCTCACAACCATCTCTAACTCCAGTTCCAGGGGATCCAATGCCCTCTTCAGGCCTCTAGAGACACCTGGCAGGCAAGTGTCTGCCAAACAGACACAAAAGCAAAACACTTATGCTCATAAAATATAAATACATATTTTATAAAGAAGAAATGCAAGTGAGATGGTCATTATTATTTTTTGGAGGCAGGGTCTTATAGCCTAGGCTGACCTAGAACTAACTCACAGTACTCCGCCTCAGCCTCATAAGTGTGATGACATGCATGAAACCTCCATGCCAAGTTCTAGGGTGATAATTTTCAATCTCAAAGTATGAGCAAATAAGAATGTCTAAGAAGGGCTTGAGAGATGGCCTAGTGGCACCCACAGGGCAGCTAACAATTGTAAGTCCAATTCCAGGGAATCTGATGCCCTCTTCTGGTTTCTGAGTGCACCACATGCATGTGGTGCACAGATACATGCAGGTAAAACAGCAGCAGTACATATTAAAAATAGAAATAAAAATCTTTTTTAAAAGCATGTCTAAAATCAATGAGGCAAAATATTAGATATTAGAGCCTCTCCACTATTATAAATAATTACTTGTAGATTTATATTATAATTTGTACACTTCTAATTTCAGCATCAAAATGTTGTTATATATGACCATAGATACCATAATAGAGTAACTTTTACAGATATTTTTAGGTTTACTTATGTGTTTAAGTGTTTTGCCTGCATGCGTGTATGTATATCACATTGCATGCCTGGTGCTCAGGAAGGTCAGAAGCAGGTATATGGTTCCCTGTAACTGGAGTTACAGATAGATGGTTATGAGCTGCCATGTGGGTGCTGGGACTTGAACCTAGGTCCTTTGAAAGAGCAGCCAGTGCTCTTAATCACTGGGCCATCTCTCCAGCCCCTGATAATGATTGTTTTTTTTTTTTAAGTGAGTTGTAAAAATGAAAACTCCTCAGAGGAAGGGACAATCCTTGTTATGAAGTATATAAGGAAGACTTCATAGAGACCAAGGTCCTTACCTGTAAAGGTAGCTTACCTGTAGAGGGAGCTTACCTGTAAAGAACAGGTAGCTGACATTTACTGAGAATTTACCATGTACTCTCCTTACACTAAACCATATTTGTTCCTTATGACCCTGACAGGTGGATCTTGTCTTACATCTTCATTTTATAAATAAAGAAACTGACACAGAAGTTAGTTGGCTTGCCCTGCATCATACACTGAGGAAATAGAATTGTGGTTCAGTTTTATTCCCGTCCTTAAAGCCTTTGCTTTTGACCATAGTTTGAGGATCTGCAAGCTGTGTGCTAGACAGCTTCAGTGGCTTAAAGCGACCTCACAGTAAACTCAGGTTTGAGCAGGAATGACTCATAAAAACTTGGTGGTCTTCACTTGTGGTGCCATCAGCCTGGTAAACAAACACAGAGGGCCACAAAGCTCTCCCTGCCGGGTTTTAACAGGGAGTAGTCTCAACAGATTTAGGGAAGGATGATTGACATTGTCAGTCAGTCAAACAGAGGCCCAGATGATCAAACAAGAATAGAATTTCAGAACAAAACAAAGCAAAGATGCTGTATGTGCTGATAGAGGCACAAAGGGCCTGGCTGGACAAAGTGCAGAAAGACAGTGAACTGACAAAGCGAGAGACTAGAGTTATCTCCGAAGACAAAAGAGGCTTTGAGACCGATCAGTCTGGTTTGGGAGTCCTTAGGCCACCCCTAACCAAAGAGCCTGTTCCTCCCCTCTTTCAGTCCCAAATACAAGATTCTGAGTGGTTCACATTGAGTCCAAAGGAGAGGTATGCTTTTAGTTCATATAAAAAGAATGATCTTCATTATTTTGCATTACGGAAAATGCGGTGATTTCTCAGTGGAGGAAAGGCCCTTGTTCCTGGCCAAATATTTGAGTTCTTTGATTGGGGATTGGTGAGCAAATGTGTCATCTCCCACATTCCAATCTACCTTTGGTTTTCTATCTTCCAGATTGGCTTGGGCAAAAGCATCCAGAGACCCTAGGATTGCAGAAGGTCAACAGTCTCCACTGGAGAAAAGGCTCCTGGTAACTAAGTTGTAAATAAATACTTTACAGTTTGGAGCTACCCAGAAAAGGAAGTTGAGGCTTAAAGTCCTCCTGTACTGATGACTCTTTGGGGCAGTACTCTGATAGCAGCAGCTTCCACTCTTGTAAATTATCCCAACACCAACTCCTGGGCTATTTTAAAAACTAGTTATTTACTGGGGACGGGTACTGCATATTTTCAGAACAATCAGACTTGCCTGGGAGCATAGGATTTAAAATTTAAATTTTTATTTACTCTAAATAAAAGGTGTGTGTGTGTGTGTGTGTGTGTGTGTGTGTGTGTGTGTGTGTGTGTGTGTTCATCTGCTTATGACATCTGAGTTCTGAGATTAAGGCATGTGCCACTACTGCTGGCCCAAGACTCCTTCCTTAATAGCAGTGAGGAAGGCAAACTGCTTTTAAATGTGTTTAAGGGAAAAATGATAAAATTCTGAACCTCCTTTTGACAGAGTCTTGGTGGTGTGCATACGACAGCAGCAAGACACTTGGTAACCCAGAAATGCCGGGAGGAGAGCAGAGAACTCTGCAGGGAGCAAGCTCACTCTCTTGACTACTGGCTTGCGAAAGCTGAGTCTTACTACAATAAGAAAATTGTGGAGATGATGAAAAGAGAGGACACCGGCGGAGAAACAAAGGTGGCAGTGGAAGAGGAAACACCACCAAGCACAGAGGGACAAAAAGTGCGGTATTGGGTGCCTGAGAGAGAGAAGAAACAAATAGAAAGGCACATCCTTAGAACAGGCCAGGCCAGAGAATTTAAGAATAAAACCTGGAGACAGACACGACTCCTCAGTGAAATAACACTACCCAAAATTGTGCCAGAAAAGACTATCATCCCGAAAGCAGAGAGAAGAAGGCAGGTGACAGAGAGAGAACTGCTCCAAATCAAAGGCCATCAGGAACGCATGATTCGAGGGAGGGAACTTCTAGAGCAAAGACTCAAAGAAAGAATCTTGAGAAAAAGCCAGAGCCAGATTCCACCACCTGAGAGGCGTGGTCGAGTGAAGAAGGAGAGCAAAGAGTTTGAAAAGGTTGTTGCATACCCTCTTTTCCAGCCATCCAGTACCAGTCGGATTAAAGTGGATATTCTTAGGGAAAAATCTCCAGACAAAGAGAAAGTGGGCACAATTATAAAACCTTGTGGAAGGAGATTCTTGGCTGTGCCACCCTTTTTGAGAACTCAAATAGGAAAAATAAAGGATCAGTAAAGTTTCAGAGCTTTGGTGATGAAACC